AAGCGTCTGCCTTTGGCTCAGGTCATGATCCCAGGGTCCTGGGATCGAGCCCCCAGTCGGGCTCCCTGCTCCGCAGCAAGCCTGCTTCTCCCTCTCCTACCCCCCCCCCCCCCGCTTGTGTTCCTGCTCTCGCTCTGTCAAATAAACAAATAAAATCTTAAAAAAAAAAAAAATCAAAAAATAAAAGCACTGAAAGGGAAAAAATGTCAATGTAGAAGTCTATACGCAGCAAAATATCTTTAAAATATTAAGTTGAAATAAATATTTCAGCCTGGAAAAAGTGAAAGAATCCATTATCAACAGACCTGAACTGTAAGAAACGTTAAAGGATGTCTTTAGGCAGAAGGAAAACAGAACCAAGGAGAAATCTGGATCTACACAAAGAAATGAAGAACACCTTAAATTGTAAATATATGGGTAAATATATGAGACTTTTTCCTTCTTTTTCAAAATCTCTTTAAAGCCATTTAAGCAAAAATAGTGTACTGTGGGGACTTTTAACAAATATAAGTAAAATGTATGACAAAAATAGCAGAGTCTGGGACGCCTGGGTGGCTCAGTCGGTTAAGCGTCTGCCTTCGGCTCATGGCATGACCCCAGGGTCCTGGTATCGCGTCCCACATCGGGCTCTTGCTCGGTGGGAACCTGCCTCTCCCTCTGCCTACTCTGCCTGCCGCTTCCCCTGCTTGTGCTCGCTCTGACAAAATCTTTTTTAAAAAAATAGCACAAACCGGGAGTAGGAAAAATATTATTACTGTAAAGTTCTTACACTATAAATGAAGTGGTGTATTATTTAAGACTAGAATGTGATGAAAATTCATACACAATAGGGGATGCCTGGGTGGCTTAGTCGGTTAAGCATCTGCCTTTGGCTCAGGTCATGGTCTCCAGGTCCTGGGATTGAGTCCCCAAGTCAGTCTCCCTGCTCAGTGGGGAGTCTGCATCTGCCTCTCCCTCTGCCACTCCCCGCCCCCCCAAACTCATGCTCGCTCTTGCTCACTCTCTCAAAAAAATAAAAAAAAATTAAAAATTTACATACAATAAACCCTAAAAACACTTAAAATTTAAAACAAAGTATTATAGCCAAGAAGCCAACAAAGAGGAGGAAATGAAATAATAAACAAGTATTCAAAAGAAAGCAGATAAAAAGGGAGACAAAACTCAAGATGGTAGATTTAAACACAATGACATCAATATTCACATTCAATGCAATGGTCTTAACACTCCCAACTAAGGCATAGGTTGGCAGACTGGATTAAAAAAAGGCAAAACCAAACTGTATGCTGCCCACAAGATGGACACTTTAAATACGAAAAATACAAAAAAGTCTCAAGTAAAAGGAGAAGATAATACTATGTTAATATCTGGGTTTTTTTAAGTTTTTAAGTGGACTGCTGGTATTAACATAAGCTTTTAAAGCAAAATATATTGGGCGCCTGGATGTCTCAGTTGGTTAAGCGACTGCCTTCGGCTCAGGTCATGATCCTGGAGTCCCTGGATCGAGTCCCGCATCGGGCTCCCTGCTCAGCAGGGGGTCTGCTTCTCCCTCTGACCCTCCCCCCTCTCATGTGCTTGCTCTCTCTCATTCTCTCTCTCTCAAATAAATAAAATCTTTTAAAAATAAATAAACAAAATAAATAAATAAAGCAAAAATATTATCAGGAATTAAAAGGGTAATTAAATAATGATATGAATGAATGTCAATTCAACATGAGGACAGAACAATCCTAAACATTAATGATTAACAGAGTTTCAAAATACATAAAGCAAAACCAGTCAGAACTAAAATGAAAAATAGACAAAATCCACAATCTACCTGGGGATTTCAAGACCCCAACATTAAATGATAGCAATGACAGCCAGAAAATCAGTAAGGATATAGAACTTGAACACCACCATCAGCCAACATGACCTAATTGGCATTACAGATTATTTCACTCAACAGAGCCAGAAGATACATTCTTTTCAGGTGAATATGGAACACTTATGAAGATGTATCACGAACCATAAAGCAACTCTTAGAATTTTAAAAGGAATCAAATCATACAAACTATTTACTAACCAAAATGGAATTAGAAGTCAGCAACAAAGATCTTTGGACACTAAATATTCACCCAAATATTTGGACACTAAATAACACACACTGAAAATAACCCATGGATCAAAGACAATGCCAAATGGAGAATTTGAAGTTTTGAACTGAATGAAAACAGATACATTATCAAAATCTGTTGGAATGAAGCTAAAGCAGTGCTTAGAAGGAAATTCATAGCATTAAAATACCAGTATCAGAAAAGAATTGCCTCAAATCAGTGACTCCAGCTCACACTTTAAACTAGAAAAAGAGCAAACTACACCTGAAATAAGCAGAATAATAAAGAGCAGAAACTGGTGAAATAAAAAGCAGAAAAACAACAGAGGAAATGATGATGGAAACAAAATCTGATTTGATTCCTTTTAAATCAATAAAATTGATTTAAAAAAAGACATGTTAGGGAGCCTGGGTGGCTCAGTCAGTTAAGCGTCTGCCTTCGGCTCAGGTCATGGTCCCAGGGTCCTGGGATCGAACCCTGCATCAGGCTCCCTGCTCAGTGGGGAGCCCGCTTCTCTTTCTCCTCTCTGCTCATGCTCTCTCTTTTGCTCGCTCTCTCTCAAATAAATGGATAAAATATTGAAAAAAAAAAAGGGCGCCTGGGTCGCTCAGTTGGTTAAGCGACTGCCTTCAGCTCAGGTCATGATCCTGGAGTCCCAGGATCGAGTCCCACATCGGGCTCCCTGTTCAGCAGGGAGTCTGCTTCTCCCTCTGACCCTCCTCCCCTCATGCTCTCTCTCTCATTCTCTCTCAAATAAAATCTTAAAAATAAAATAAAATAAAATAAAATAAAGGGCGCCTGGGTGGCTCAGTCAGTTAAGCATCTGCCTTCTGCTCAGGTCATGATCCTAGGGTCCTGGGATCAAGCCCCACATCGGGTTCCCTGCTCGGCGGGGAATCTGCTTCTCCCTTTCACTCTCCCTCTGTGTTCTCATGCTCTCTAATAAATAAAATCTTAAAAAAAAATAAAATACAAAAAATTTTTTAAAATGTTAACATTAGGATTGAGAGAGAATATCACTATGTATCTTACTTTATTAAAATACAAGGGGAAAAAAAATACAAGGGAATTTCCAACTTATGCCAATAGATTTGACAACAAATTCCTTTGAAGATGCACAACCCCAAAGCTTACTCAAGAATAAATAACATGAATAACCCTTAATCTATTTTTAATATTGATTTGTAATGTGAGAAGGAAATTCCAGACTCAGATTGGCTTGTTATGAAATTCTACCTAACACTAATGGAAGAAGTAATGACAATATGATACCCAGTCCTTCAGAAAACTGAGGAGGAGGGAGTTAACACTTACCCAAATAACCTGTGAGGCCAGCATGACCTTTATAAACTCAAAACCAGAAAGACATGACAAAACCCTGGAAGAGCTTATCACCACCTTTCAGTTATTTTAAAAAAGCCATAAATATGTCAATGTCTCAGAAATAGGTGAAATTACTACTCAACAGTGGCAAGATTTGAAGATTTTCATTTTATTAAAAATATAGCAACACAATAGCAGCATCATTTGATAAATCTTTACTAGTACCACTTAGAAGTAGTCCTACTCACATAAATATACACCACCTAATGCAGCATCTTTATGTTTACATTTTACTCTTCCCTTAATAATCATAGCATTATGTAAAGAACACTATTGTTAAGATTCAGGAGAGTAGTATTTAACTGTTAAACGAACTACCTACACAACTACACAATACACCCAAATGTCATCTTCTGTGGAAATCGGGGAGTTCTGTAGATTGTTCCCCAAGTCTGCTGCCTGCCACGCAACCTCAGGTTGGTAGAACTCCATACCCTCAACTCTTAATTCCTTCAGTATGATTTTCATAAATTTCAACTTGTACATATAGTCAAGAAACTATCTAGCAAATAAAAGTTAATCAGGAGTGGAGAAAACTGTATTATTCCATTCCAATCCCAGGAAAATAAATCTTAGCAGTAAAATATGTGAAGTATCCCAAAAGTTGGCAACTTTCGAAATTAAAATGTTAGCCAGATACAAAGTAAATTTAAAAATCAGGCAATAAACTAAACCCGTTTTTAAAAACAATATATTAAGTATTATAGTAAATATAAAGTAAGTTTTAATAAATTAGTTGCTAGGAACTATAAAAATACCTTAAAATAGAATGGAAAGAAATCTAGTTATTACTTACTACTAACCTCAATAGGGACCAAAAATCATTAATAGCTCCAGCTTTCATTTTTAAAATAATGTATCAATCTTCAGGCAGAATCACCAATAGAACATTTAAGAAAAACAAATTCATCCACAAACCCAAAATTAAGTAGGGAAGTCAATTTGATTTTAAAAGACTTTATATTACATTATACTGGACTACCGCTTCCAGAAATATAAATTAGCCCTTTTAAGAGCACTAACTTTTGAGATTTGAAAATAAACAATTTTAAATGAATATTACACTAGTTAAATAAATGTAAGAATACTAAGTATGTGTGAAAATAAAAAAATATCTAAACACATAAAGAACATATTTTGTGGAAATGGCTCTACTTCATAACCCGCCCAGTTAAAATCAGATACTATCTTTTAGTGAAAATATGACTCACTGAAATGTTAAGTTATTCAATGCATCCCTCCAAAAGGACTCATTTTAATAGCTAATTCAACTACTAAAAAAAGACATTTAAATCAAATCATATTATTTCTAATAGATTTTTTAAATGTTTAAAAGCCTGTTACTACATATTATAATTCTTAAAATTAATAATCTTCAGAGCTGACTTGGATTAAGGGTTTAAGTTTTAAGATAAAGACAGCAACATATATATAGGAATGAATGAGGTACTGGAAATAATATCACAAATGAAGTTATTTTCTTCACAAAAAAGGATTCTAAATATGAGTTCTTATTTTTGAGCATTTCAAAATTTAAGTCTCTGACATTTCTGAAGATCAACATAGCATATATAGACTAACCTCCTGAATATAAGAAATCTGAACAAAATCACAAGCTGATTAGTGTTTGCAATTATAAATTAGTTAGATTTGATTGAGAATAATGAGACAATTGCAGAAGTTAAGGATTTATACTTGTTTTCACATATGAAACTAGCCAGCTTATTATGAAGGCCCATCTTAATATAAATAATTCATTATGCATTGCTGAAAAGAAAGAACAAGAGGATCAACAGAATTTGTCTAAAATGATGAATAGCAACACAATTAAGGAACAGAATGTACTCTCTGTATAATCAAGCTAAAAAAAATAATTATAAAGGGATCACATATAAAATGGCTATCTTCTTTGCCTTACCTCAAGTTTTCCTGACATCTACCTGGGTTGAAAAAGAATAGCCTTAAAGAAAAAAACAAAATGCCTTAAAAGAAAATAACAAATAAATGGAAACCTACCAGGCTCCTATAAGTGAACAAAGAAAAAATATGTCTTTCTCTCTCTCTCTCTCTCTCTCTCTCTCGATCTGTCTCTCTCAATCTCTCTCTCTCACACACACACACACGCATACTCACACTCACTCCAATACCTCCAGGCCCTAAAAAGCTTTGCTTCCATAAGCCCATTTAAGAACATTTTTTCACTTCGTCTGGATCTCTTGTATTCCTATCCAGGTCCAACTTTCATATATCAGTCTTTCAAAAGAAGTATCATTTTAAAGCTGAATATCACCAACAGGAAAAATAATTAGCAGCAAGAACCAAATTAAGTGTGTTAACTGCCAACACAGAAAACATTAAGAGTCCAGAGTACAAGAAATAACTCAAACTTTAAATGATTGTTTTATAGACACCACACATTCATTCTTCATGTCGAAACAATCTCTATGCCAACTAAAACATGATAAACTAAGATGCTGTTTTGAAATGCATAAACAAATACTTTCCTCTAAAATACTTAGCTTTATTAGAGAAATGGTACTAAAAATAACAAAGATTCAAACATTTGCTCTATTCTACTTACATATTATAAATAAGACAATTGTTGATGCAAGACACACACTCCTTCACAATCTTTCCATATGCACCCAAGCATTCTTGTATCAGAATAAGCTGTTTACCAGCCAACCTTATGTGGTTGAATGATTAAAATGACCATCTATACTTTACATAGTAAAGCATTTTCAAAAATTTTAATGTACACAGTGACAAAAAGGAAAAAAAAAAACACAGTAATTCTGAACACATGAAAGAGTAATTAAGCAGCTTCATAATCAAACCAGGCTTCATTGCAATAAGGGCAATTCTTTCCATTCTCTACCAAATACTTAAGTTTCAATAGTATTAACATTAAAAGAAAACTCAAGTTGAAACCAAGTAACTGATGAGCTACTCAGCTTTTTAAATCTATAAGTAATTCTTCCCATGAGGTAAGGCAACGGAGTAATCTGATTGTATTAGACTGCATTAAAATAATTATACTTGATTTTTTTAATAACATGCTAATTAAAAGGTGTAACTTTGGGGAAACAAAACAATAATGAAAAGATTTCTGAAACTATGAGTTATGGCTTTGGGGGAAAATATTAGCAATGTTGTCATTTTACTACTTGTTACTTCCTGCAGAAAGTGAGCCTAAGAGTAACGGATGACCTATATTTTAAACTCAAGTAAACATATCCTTAAAACAAATAACCTCATGTGTTCTCCTTTACATAGAATTTCTGCACATCATTTATGAGAAGATAATTAAGAGGTAATAATTAAGGCCATCCAATGGAGACAACGAAAGTGTTTGCTTTGATTTAAGTCAAGTAAGAACATGCTTCATTTTCAATTATCACAGTATAAAACTGATGGTCCCAAAACTGCATGGTTGTTTTAAGCTCTAAAGTCATTCTTGAAAACAGGACTTCCCTCATGTTAGGTGAACTATGTAAGAAGCTCTTCTGACATACCACTTGCACACTTCTCTCTGGGAGTGAATGGAATATCCATCTACATTCCCTATGAACTGAGAATGACTAGCACATATAAAATTCTAGAAAACAGCATACCACATTGTAGAAGGCACTAAAGCTTCAGCTTGTGCTCCCATAGCCCATTTTGAAAACCCAGTTTTCTTTTCATAACGGCACCTTTGCCACCCACAGCGGACAACACACACTGCAATGTTATTCCTAATAAGCTTGGAAATGTCAACAAAGTTCAAAAAGAAATGCTTACTTTGTGGGGAGACCCAATGACTCTAAAACCGAATACTAATACATTATTATTAGTATTCGACATGGGTGCTCTTCCTTTTGAAAGAGAACAGGAGCATGCATTGTCAGTTGTTTGTTAAACCACTTAGTTAAGCAATTTTAGTCTGTAAAACTATTTTAACAAAAACAAAAACTGTTGTCCTAAACAGTGAGCAAAAGAAAACACAATAGTGAGAATTTAACACAATCACCATAAATCCTGTGAAGTAAATGTTTAAAACTTCTTACATACTCTGCACTTACAAGGGTGTGTATATATTTGCACCGATTTCAAGCACATCATCAAATCTGTATATACTGAAATTTAAAAAGAAAAAAAAAGTAAAACAATACAAAATTCAGCAACTACCATTTTTTAAAAGAACCTCCAATGCTTATCTCCAGTCTTTACGGATAGTACAAATTTGGATTTTTGATGTCCCATTTATTTGTAATAGTTCGGCAAACACTAACAAACCACATGACAAGTGTGTCAGCCACCATGGAAATGCACAGATTCTAGAAGATGAGTTTGGGTAACACGTGTTATTTTCACGATGTCCATGCTTTATTTTCTTACTCCGTAACAAGATGGCCACAAAGTCACCTAACAACTAGAAAAGCTGTTAGTCTGTATCTTTATGCTCAACTGGATTTCTTCACTGTTTAACATCTTGTCGAGAGAATCAAAAGCTTTGGATTTTATTCCAGCATGTGTTCAGAGGTGCATTTGTCAGTCCTATACTGCTTCTGTTTTGGTAGAGAGGTTTTCTTCATTTGGCTGACAATTCCCATTTTGCTGTACTTTGTTTTCCTCAGTCCTTGGTGCATCCTTGTCATCTACTTCTTTGCCCACGCTTGAATCTGGTTCTTTATTGTGTTCCTTCTCCTACAATGAATATTAAGCCACACATTTAATATTTTTCTCAAGAGTTGCTGCGTACTATTACATCTGGTATGGCTAAAATACATACTCTGTCAACTTAGTACAAGTAGGTATTTTCTCTCATTACCTTATCATATAAATAAGATATGCAAACATGTATCAGTATGTCCTCTGTACTTCTCATAAAAGACGGAAATTGTAAATTAAATTAGAATAAAATAGTCAAAAAGAAAGTCTAAGAAGTGTTTAATAAATGTTACTGAACTGAAAAAGTGGGACAATCTGCTGAAAGAGTTGAACTGCTCCCAAAGATGCCAGGATACATTTGTAATCTGGATACCAAAGAAGCAGAATTCAGAGGATGTAGAAAAAGGAATCACTACTCGTCCTAGCAAAGACTGCTCAAGAACAGTCCAATTCTGCCCTCAGCTTAAAGGAGAATTAAATGAGAACATATGGAAAAATGCCAGACACACAGTAATGCTCAAGAGACATTATCAATGTTACTGCCGATGATGATAAACCCCTACCAATATGAGTAAATAAAATTATAAGATGAAAGCTCCAGAACTCATAATTGATTTCCAAATACAAATACACTTACTGGAATAACAAAGCAATTAATGTAATTTATAAGTAGTTAAATATTTATCTCAAAAAACACCCTTACTTGGCGGAATTTGGTTTTCCATTAATTATTCTAATTCAACAAACCTACTAATCTCAGTATATGTTACAAAACCAATGATGAAAAAAAAGGGGGGGGGGCGCCTGGGTGGCTCAGTCGTTAAGCGTCTGCCTTCTGCTCAGGTCATGGTCCCAGGGTCCTGGGATCGAACCCTGCATCAGGCTCCCTGCTCAGTGGGGAGCCCGCTTCTCTTTCTCCTCTCTGCTCATGCTCTCTCTTTTGCTCGCTCTCTCTCAAATAAATGGATAAAATATTGAAAAAAAAAAAAAGGGCGCCTGGGTCGCTCAGTTGGTTAAGCGACTGCCTTCAGCTCAGGTCATGATCCTGGAGTCCCAGGATCGAGTCCCACATCAGGCTCCCTGTTCAGCAGGGAGTCTGCTTCTCCCTCTGACCCTCCTCCCCTCATGCTCTCTCTCTCATTCTCTCTCAAATAAAATCTTAAAAATAAAATAAAATAAAATAAAAAAAAGACAGGGCGCCTGGGTGGCTCAGTCAGTTAAGCATCTGCCTTCGGCTCAGGTCATGATCCCAGAGTCCTGGGATTGAGCCCCACATCGGGCTGCCTGCTCGGCAAGAAGCCTGCTTCTCCCTCTCCCACTCCCCCCGCTTGTGTTCCCTCTCTCGCTGTCTCTCTGTCAAATAAATAAATAAAAATCTTAAAAAAAACAAAACCAACCAATGATGACAGAACTTTTGACAAATTTGCTGAAACAAATCTATTTCAGGAATATATATATACATACACACACACACACACACACACACACACATATACGAAAATACCCTCAACCAGAAATCTTCGTATAAAATCAAATACATGTTATGTGTAAACAGTCTTATTGTATGCCATCCTTGGACTCCCTAAAGTAAGGAATGCATTTGTCTGAGTTTCAGTTAGCTCTTACCCCATCCCTTCAAAAATCCAGCTTAAAAAAGTTACCAGTTGAACAAATATTAAAGGACACCAAAAACATATAAGATACCACAGCCCTCAAAAAGGTTTTGCTCTAAATCTAGTTCTATGTAGGGGCGCCTAGGTGGCTCAGTTGTTAAGCGTCTGCCTTCGGCTCAGGTCATGATCCCAGGGTCCGGGGATCAAGGCCCGCATCGGGCTCCCTGCTCGGCGGGAAGCCTGCCTCTCCCTCTCCCACTCCCCCTGCTTGTGTTCCCTCTCTCGCTGTGTCTCTCTCTGTCAAATAAACAAAATCTTAAAAAAAAAAAAAAAAAAAAATCTATATTAATTTTTTAAAGCCTAAACAATGAATGACTGCTACTTACTTTAAGTGAAGTATTGTTCTTCTCCAACTTTTCCTTTCCATCTCGGTCATTAGAACTCTTTCTTGTAGAGCTTGAACGTTCTCTCTCTCTTCTTTCACTAATGTGGTCCCTTTCTTTTTCTCTCTTTTTATCCTTCTTATTTCTGCTATAAGAACAGTAATAACATGCCAGGTAACTTCTAAGAAATTAAAGACCTACTATGTTGTTGACAAAACAGTCTTATCTAACACTAAAGCAAATGTAATCTGGTTTGACCAAGTAACATAAACAGTCCTATAGCCCCACCTGCTCCACCCCATACCCCAATTCGTTTTTTAAAGATGCCCAAGTCTTTTTTTGCAGAGGCCACCATGCGTTCACAAAAAACACAATTTGGTATTTTCAATTTATTTGTTCAAGATTTATTTATCAGTCTCAACTGTAATGAGATTAAAATAAAACCAAATATATGGGTTTTTTACCCACCTTTTCAAAGCAAAAAATGAATAAGCAGAAAGAAATGAAAAGGATAAAGAATTAGAGGTGGTTCCCAGGGAGGACTGAATGACTGAGTACCAACAAAACTTGAATTTCAAATAACCAGTGCTACTGCCCTTGTCATTCACCATTACAAACAAGTCACACCAATTCAAGATCAAAAGTTAAGAGAAAAAAAAAAAAAGAAAAAAAAAAGTTAAGAGAAGACTACATAAACAAGTTCCACTGATAAAAACAATATACCTTTAGAATTAGAGGGAAAAAACAATGCATTTCCGATCAGAAGCATAAGCTGCCTTTCTACTTTAAAAAGTTAGCCTTAACGTGGAATTCTAAGCTTTTTTCTCTTAATAATGAATAATTCAAAAATAAAGACAAAGACCAAGAAAACAAATAAAGAAACTGAGCAAAAAGACCTAAGAACATATGAAAATTTAGTATAACAAAGGTGGCATCTCAAATCATTGAGGAAAAGATGACGTTTTATAAATAAAAGTTATGGAGACAACTGGATTATTATTTGGTAAGTGATAAAACTTGATCAATATCTCATATCTCATTCCACAATATATAAATAAGTCCAAATGGATGAGAGACCTAAATTCTTAAAATAAAATACAAGTGCTAAAAGAAAACATGGGTAAATTTCTTTACTATCTGGGTTTTGAAAAGAAAGATTTTTTAACCTAACTAAAAATCAGGTACAATAAAAAACTGATAAATTTGCCTACATAAACCTTGCAAGGAAAAAAAAAGACATTACCATATTCAAAAGAGAAATGACATATTTGCAACATATGTGTGCATCTTTCTACATAATTTTTAAATGTCAAGGGAACAATCACATCAAACTGAGTAAAATTCTTAGGAATAAATTTAACCGAGGCGGCAAAAAATTTGCTGAAAAAGATGAAGAAAAATAAATAGAAAGACATCCAGGCTTATAGATTGGAAGACTTAAATATTGTTAAAATGGCAATACTATCCAAAGCCACCTAGAGATTGAATGCAACCCCTATCAAAATCCCATTGTTGTTATTGCAGAAATACAAAACCCCATCCTAAAATGCATGTAGAATCTTGAAGGATATCAAATAGCCAAAACAATCTTAAAAAGAACAAAGTTTGAAAGCACAGCATTCCCAATTTCAAAACTTACAAAAACAGCACAGTATTACATAAACAAAGAAAATAAACCAGTGGAATAGACCAGAAGACCCAGAAATAAACCCCCACATATATGATTCAAATCATTTCTGACAAGGATGCCATGACCCATTCAATGGGGAAAGGACAATCTTTTCAACAAACTGACACTGGGAAAACGATATCCACACACACAAGAATGAAGCTGGACCATTATCTTATACCATATTAAATAGTTAACTCAAAATGGATCAAAAACCTAAATATATATGCTAAAGCTATAAAATTCTTAGAAGAAAACACAGGAGAAAATCTTCATGACATTGCATTTGGCAATGTTTTCTTTGACAGGACACCAAAAGCACAGGCATCAAAAGGAAAAAACAGATAAATCTGACTTCATCAAAATTAAGAACTTTTGTGCAGGGGCGCCCGGGTGGCTCAGTCGTTAGGCGTCTGCCTTCGGCTCAGGTCATGATCCCAGGGTCCTGGGATTGAGCCCCACATCGGGCTCCCTGCTCAGCCGGAAGCCTGCTTCTCCCTCTCCCACTCCCCCTGCTTGTGTTCCCTCTCTTGCTGTGTGTCTCTCTGTCAAATAAATAAATCTTTAAAAAAAAAAAAAAAGAACTTTTGTGCATCAAAGAATACTATCAGAAAAATTAGAAGCCAACCCACAAAACAAGAGAGATATTTGCAAATCAGAAATGCTCAAAAAACAGCAGTGGAAGTATGGGGGAGGATCAGCCTTACTAAACATTAAAAAAATACTACACAATTTGAATAATAAAAAGCATGGAGCGGGGCGCCTGGGTGGCTCAGTCGTTAAGTGTCTGCCTTCGGCTCAGGTCATGATCCCAGGGTCCTGGGATCGAGCCCTGCATCGGGCTCCCTGCTCAGCAGGAAGCCTGCTTCTCCCTCTCCCAATCCCCCTGCCTGCTTGTGTTCCCTCTCTCGCTGTGTCTCTCTCTGACAAATAAATAAATCTTTAAAAAAAAAAAAAAAAGCATGGAGCATTGGTACACGAACCATCAGTCAAACCAACCCAGCAGCAGTGAAGGCCCAGAAATAGACCCAAACACAAAAGGAAATATATAGTACCTGAAAAGGCAATATAAGAAATCAATATTAGAAAAATTGAGTTTTTAATAAATGATACTGATCAAAAGAAAAGCATATAGAAAAATAAAATTGGACCCACATGCCATACTATAACATAAGGATGAACTCCTAATGGATCAAAGATTTTAATGCAGTAAGTAAAAACATAGAAGTATAAGAAGAAACAAGGGGGGCATTCTATTATAATCTTGGAATAGAAAAGACCTTTCTAACTTTATATGACTCAAAATCCCAAAGCCATTAAAGAAAAAATTTGAGGGGCGCCTGGCTGGCTCAGTCAGTAGAGCATGTGACCCTCAATCTCAAGGTTTTGAGTTTGAGCTCCACACTGGATGCAGAGTTTAAAGAAAAAAAAAGAAAGAAAGAAAAAACTCGGGAAATTATTAAAAAAATCAAAATCCTTTGTAAAATCAAGTCTCATAATATTTTCTGAAAAGAAACAACAAATTAAGAATGATACCTAGTATCAAATCACTAAAGAATAGTCTCCCTAAAGGCGCTTGGCTGGCTCAGAAGAGCATGTTACTCTTGATCTCAGGGTCGTTGAGATCGAGCACCATGTAGGGGGTAGAGTTTACTAAAAAACAAAAAACAAAACAAAAACAAAAAAACAAAACTTAAAAAAAAAAAAAGAATAATCACTCTAATACAAAAAGAACCCTTGGAAATAAGAAAAACAAACAAAAAGCAGAGCCCACAAAAAAAAAAAAAAATGGACAAAGCATATCAACAACTCACAGGAAAGGAAATACAAATGGCCTTCAAGTATATGAAGAGAAGGTCACCTTCACTCCTAAGAGAAATGCAACTAAAATTACTATATACTGATACCATTTCTCATCTATCAGACAGACAAAAATCCACAACTGTAGTAACATAATATGGTGTAGCTGACAGAAAACACTCTCGTACACACCAGCTCAAGTGCAAATTGCTGCCAATCTTTACGGAGGGTGATAAAGAAACAACTCTCAAAATTATAAACACACTCTGACACAACAATACCACTTTTGGAATTTTCCCACACAGCTGCACACAACAAAGTTAAGTCTAAAGCTATTCATTGCAGTATGGTCTAATTTGTAATAGGACAATTAAGCAAACCCATTCTACTGCAGGCTGGTTAAATAAACCAAGGTAGTGCCACACAATGGAAGTCCATGCAGTTCTAAAAAAAAGAATGAAGCGGCACTTGCTGATGAAAGCTCTCCGGGCAGTTGGGTGACAAAAAGCAAGGGCACAACAGTGTGTTTTTTGTGCTAACTTCTGCATAAGAAATATGAAAAGGAACTATAAATTTCAATCTTGTATATCTCCACACAAAACTGGAAGGATATACAATACAAAAAAGTTAAGTCACTACTTATGGACACACAGTAGATGAGTGCATGGATGAAGTGAAGACCTACAGAGGTATAACTTTTTATACTGTTGGGATTTCTGAAACATGCAAATGTATAACATATTACTCATTCAAAATATAAAGTTTAAAAATAGATCCAAAAGAAGATTTTTCTTCCCCCGCTCCATCTTTGGATTTAGCCCACACTTTCAACCTACCTCCTAGGGGATGGAGATCTAGAAGATTTCCTTTTTATAGTTTTTGATGTTCTTGGTGATCTGGAAGAACTCCTGCTCCTCCTCCTACGCCTTTCCCTGAAAGTCAAAAATATATCATTTAAAAATATAGCAATTTTAATAAAGGGCAATTCAAATACACAAAAGCAAAAAGGTCCTTAATGCTCTCAAGTTAACAGTCTTTCAAAGACCAGTTTAAACTCATGTCCTTTAAGAACATGTTCTATTTTCTAATATTAGTACAGGTCAAATTCTGAACCATAAATTTTACAGACATGAAAATATGTTCTAAGATTTCGTAACAGAAAAGGAAGAAGACTCCTTTTCATCTGGTTTATCTGAACAAGAACTTCCTGAATAGAAAAAATATTAATGGATATTTCAGATTCTCTGTTTTGCTTATCCAGATCCTTTGTCCTGCATCTAGCTCCTTGCTGCCCCACTGTGGATTATTTTATAAAAGATTAAGGTGGCTTGCAAAATGTGAACTTTACAAATCCAAGCATTTAGAATGTCTCTAAAAAAGCATTTACATTAATCTATTTCACAGAGAAATTGTTTTACCCTTCAACTTCCTACCATTTTATTGTTCTATTCATTTAAAACCGAGTGCACAAGTTGCTTAGAAGTAAAATAGTTAAAACCTGGGCCTTAAATATGAAATAAAAAAATAACTACTGAATTGATTAACAGTGTTTAGTATTATTAAAAACGATTTTCTTTAACATGTTAGCAAATGATACATACTCAAAATTACTTCATTTAGAAGCATGGTCAACTGAGAAACAATGAATTTCAAGATGTCCATAACTCAGGGGATGACGCACACAGGAGGACATACTTACTATGATTAATGTGTCCAACGATCTCACAAGGAGCTCTAATAATTAGTGGCCATACAGGTGAAAGAACCAAATCCCCTAGAATCCAAGTCCTCCATACAACCTCAGTAAGAATATTCTAGGCTAAAGAAGCATTTTGCCTACATTTTTCATTATAAAATAAATACTAGATAATGCTCAGATGTGGTAGATACAGTATATGTTAAGACCAAATTAGCCAAGAACTTTGAAAACACCGTCAATTCCAATTTTACCTAAAGCTTTCTCCTCCATTACCCAATTTTATTTCCAAGACACCCCAAAATTATACTTCCTGACTAATGTGAAAATAGGTGAAGATATTCCGTTCAGTCAATGCCATTCTGTAACAGCCCAGCATAAATACCATACTTATTTCATAGCATGAGAATATCAATGTATGTTAGACTTTGTTTACACAAAATGGTTCCACCCTGACCAGTTTTGACTGTTTAACTTTGTTCAGGAAGCACTATGTACAGTTGGACATCTAATAACTAAGAGCTGATGATAATGAGCGCTAAGGCTGGATAGACAGCAATCTAGAACGTCAATTAGTTGAGAAAGAGGCAGTCAGGGGTAGTATAGGGAACTGTAGTTGGTTAGACTTAGATTTAAATTTTAGTTCCATACCTTACCAGCTGCATGACTAAGGTCATATTACTTAATCTGAGTTTCAGTTTTTCCAACTGGAAAACGGAGTTAATAACTCAAGCTTGATAGTATTGTTATGAGGATTTAGGATGATACCTATAAAGTACCACGCACAGTCTCTTGCATATACTTGGTGTCAATATTTTCTCCTTTCTCCTCACTAGCTTTATTGCTAGTTACTGTAAACACTGAAAGTTGCTTAAATATCAAAATTTTCTTTAAAAATGTAGATTGGGGGCGCCTGGGTGGCTCAGTCAGTTAAGCGTCTGCCTTCGGCTCAGATCATGATCCCAGGGTCCTGGGACTGAGTCCCACATCAGGTTCCCTACTCAGCGGGGAGTCTGCTTCTCTCTCTCTCTCCCTCTACCCTTCCACCCCTGCTTGTTCTCTCTCTCTCTCAAATAAATAAAATCTTTTTTTTTTTTTTTTAAGATTTTATTTTTATTATTCATTTGACAGAGAGACACAGCGAGAGAGGGAACACAAGCAGGGGGAGTGGAAGAGGGAGAAGCAGGCTCCCTTCAGAGTGGGGAGCCCGACACGGGACTCGATCCCAGGACCCCGGGACCATGACCTGAGCCGAAGGCAGTCGCTTAACCGACTGAGCCACCCAGGCGCCCCTCAAATAAATAAAATCTTAAAAAAATAAAATAATAAAATAAAAACGTAGATAAGAGGATGACGTTGAAAATAAAAATACCAAGTACTCTATTTTTCTGAGCCACTAAAATGTTTCCTGTTAACTAAACAAATCAGAGCACATGAAAAACAGAAAAATGCTAAAAGATGACAAATTTTAACTCTTCACCAAGCTCTTATGAAAGCACAAAACGTGCCAAACTTCAGAACCTTTAGAAACTAACATTAGTCAGCATTTCTTCCCCAGGCCCCAGAGGTTAGTTACGAATATATTTAGGAATGAATGTAAACATCTGAACTTCCTTAAATGTCAAGCAACTTAAAATGGCCACCGAAAAAATTAAATATTTCAAAGTCATCCCCAAAGTAAATTCAACTGAATTTAAAAGGAATCAAAACATTGTTTTGTGTTATGAAGGGCAATAACTAAATGATCACATAAACACAAAGGAAGGTGTGACAGACAATAAAATCACTGTGCAGTAAAGGAACAGGCTTGCAAGGCTTGACTGATGTCCACAGCAATGAGACTAAGTTAATTCTTCAGTTTCTGGTTCAGTGTGCTGAAATATGGTAGTGATCTGTTTATTTTAAGCCCCAGTTAAACATACACTGTTGTTTTCAACTTTATGCTTCTGCAGCAGTTTCTTAAAGCAGGTACCAAGTACTGATTAGAGAATTCTCAAACTTAATCTCTTAAAAAGAAGAGAAAGAGCTACCGTATTTCTAACTTGGAAGTGCAGAGCAGCAGATGGAAAACTTCCCGAAAGCTATGGTATTATCATACTTTGAAACCATGATAATAATAGTCTTCTCACAGACTTACTGTGAGGAATAAGATTAGTCATAAAAAACTGTGCAGAGACAAAATCTGGCATTTGGTAAAACATTCAATAAACACCTGCAATTATCTTGTAATACCTAACGAAAGACTGGTATTAAGAACAAGCTACTGAAACACAAAGTTAGAAAAACAGGAAATACACATTCATTTCCAATTACCTTCTGTGAAAATCACGATTAAAATAGCCATAAAACTTGCTAAAATAGGTGTTTTATTCAGCATTAAGATCTAGTTTAAAACAAGTTTAGGAACCTCCATTCACTCAGTTATTGTATCATGTGGAGTAATGGATATAGGTTTAAATAATCTTGAATCAAGGGAGGTCCTATGTCCTCTTTTTGCAGCTGTTACTATGGCAACCTGCTGCCACCTGGTGGCAGTGTACTTATTAAGAGGGAACAGTCCTAAGGAAAAAAAGAAAGACCTTAACACTGACAGATCAGGGGCGCCTGGGTGGCTCAGTCGTTAAGCGTCTACCTTCAGCTCAGGTCATGATCCCAGGGTTCTGGGATCGAGCCCCGCATCGGGCTCCCCGCTCAGCGGGAAGCCTGCCTCTCCTTTTCCCACTCCCCCTGCTTGTGTTCCCTCTCTCTCCGTCAAATAAATAAATAAAATCTTAAAAACAAAAAACAAACCAAAAAAATTGACAGATCAAGGAAAACCAAAATTTAAATGTCATGCACTCAACAAATAGAGCAGTAAAAATTACTTAAATGAAATTTTAATAATCATTCGGCATATTAAAATTTACCAAGAAGTCAATTCTTCCATTTAAAAAAAAAAAAAAAGGAAGAAAAAAAGAAAAACTCGTCCTTGCCATCTCATCCTCCAAAAAAGTAAGCAGCAGCGGCCACTGTCGGCACCAGGAATTACGAAGGATAGTTAAAACTTTTCAAATAACTTTGCCCAATTATCATCTCTTCCACCTCATAGGTTCAATACTGTGGCAAGTGCTCTACTAGAGAAAATGCTTATTCTGCAATTAGAGGGCAATGATCTGGTTATTACTGTACTGTTTCCACTTACGTAGCATAATCTCTTCCCCCTTGGTTAAAACTTACATTTTCATTTGTCATCAGTAAAAAATTTAAGCATTATCAAACCTGCTGGAACTACGAGATCTTCTTGATGCATTGTAACTTCTGGGTGGTGTTCTGGATTTTTTATCCTTCTTTCTTTTCTCATCTATCTCTTTCGATCTGTCCTTGTCTCGTTCCTTTTCTTTGTCCTGTTCCTTTTCCTTGTCTCGCTCCTTGTCATGTTCTTTCTCCCGCTCTCTCTCTCTGTCCTTTTCCTTGTCTTTATCCCGGTCCTTTTCCCGTTCTTTATCCCGGTCTTTCTCTTTGTTTTTACCCCGTTCCTTTTCTTTTTCACGTTCCTTCTCCCTGTCTCTCTCTTTTTCCCTTTCCTTTTCTCTATCTTTTTCTTTCACTCTTTCCTTTTCCTTGATCTTTTCTCGGGTGTCTTTTCTCTTGTCCCTTTAAAAACAAAAATAAATAAATAAATACACAACTAAAATTATTCTACTCCCCAAAAAGGACCTCCCTCTCGTTCCTCAACAATTATCAACCCAAAAGAATTTATACTAGTTTATAATACATTACATGATAATCTCTATATAACCGAGGTGTACATGAAGCTGTTAGATGAAAGAGTTACCGGTTTAATTATGTATTTTAGAAACCTCATGAGTCATTCTAATCATCAGATTCAAATCAATGGCAATCAATATTAATCACTACTAAAACAATCAGAAAAAAGTTTACTGTCTCTCATTAAAAACCTAAACCACAATCATTTTTTAATTAAGTGAAGCCACGAGAAAAATTACCACTAATTTCCCCAAAACTCACCGTGAACGCGAACGACTCCTTGACTTCCGTCTCTCCCTTGATTTAGAGCGTTTTTTATGTGGGCTCTTAGATCTACGTCTGTCTTTTTGTCTTGAACGTGATCTATTATGGGATCTACTCCTAAAGAAAAACAAGTTGTTAGAATGTCAAAATTACTCTTAAAATTTCAATTTTTGAAAATTTAAGATGTCTTTCAAGTGAGAAAAATTTAAAACCTATCCCAACAGTACTTATCAATATTTTAAAATTCCCTATTACATAACGCCTCAGATTATTTCCAGTAATTTATTTATTGGCAACTTTACCAAACAGTTCATTTTCAGAACACAAAGTGAAAGAAATTATTTTCTATGTCAGACTGAAGCTGTTATTTTCAAGTGTGGCTTTCTTGTCTAATTATTATATGCCTGTTACTATAACTTCTCCCACAGAACAAGTTTGTATACCATAAACTAAATTTAACTCTTGACTTGCATGTAATTGCTTGTGGTTATACTTTCACAAGAAATAGTGGTTTTTCTGGCTCAAGAGTTTCTCTAACTGGCTGTGTGATGTGTGTCATAACATATATTAAGAATGTATAAGGAAGCACAGTACTAATTACGCTGCTAGCGTGACAGGAAAATAAACATTACTCATGAGTTGAAGATATAGATAATTAAATGTTGGATTTGCAAGACCTCTTGATTTTATAACTATATAAACATAGCTATTAAAAGAAACCTTTTTTTAAAGATTTTATATATTTGAGTGTGAGCATGATCAGGGGGAGGGAGGGGCAGAGGAGAGGGAGAAGGAGACTCCCTCCTGAGCAGGGAGCTCAACACGGGGCTTGATCCCAGGACCCTGGGATCATGACCTGAGCCTAAGGCAGACGCTTAACCGACTGAGCCACCCAGGTGCCCCCTAAAAGAAACCTTTATTACTGGAATTCTTGCGGGAAAAATAACGTTTACTCCAATTCTGAAATTCTCTAGGCTCCTTATTCCCACTGAAATAATGCTTATATAATGTGATTTTTATCCTAGTAACTATTTATTAAAATATAACAAAACTGAATGCACACAAATAACAAAGTAATGAGACTCACCAGCTCTGGAGTGAAACAATCTGGCTCTGATACTCAGCTCTGCCACATACTAGCTGTGAGAACTCTGGCTACTCACTTACCCTCTCTAAGCCTAGTTTCTTCATCTACAAAGTTGGAGAATCATACCTACATCACCTAGGGCTGTAATGAGGACTAAATCAGATGACGCATGAAAGACTGCCTAGCAGTCTCGGGCACAGAGTAAATGTTCAAAATTCTTAACTCTCAAGATCATCAGCATTAATAATTAACATAAATGAAAACTTTAAGTTACAGCTTCATTTATTCCAAGGAGATCAAATGAACTTCCACAAGTATGCTTTATATAATTAAAATTCATCTTGATAGTCATGTTTTCATGAGTTAAGTTAAAACAAAGATCTATAAAAGAAATACATACAGTTAAATTCTTGTGGTATGCTAAGAAGCCAGAAAAATCTTGAGACAATTTTCAATTAATAATGAAATCCTGCTTTTTTAAACACATTTTTCAGTTAGTTAAAATGTTTCCCAACAGCTAATTTTCAACTGAACCACTCATCTATTTTACGGTTTTAAAAATTATACATTTATTTTCATACCATATTTTCAATACAAGAAGATAAGCCAGTTTGTTGAAATCTTTATTACTAATAACCCAAGAGACAATGGGGCAAGTGGTAGGTAAAAGCAAAACTGCAAAACTTAGGATATTTTTAATCCATTTACAGACATCCACATAAGGGGAATGTTCTATAAGGCCTTTGCTTCTATGTACTTAATAGAAAGTCTTTACATTTCTGTTCTACTTAACCTTGCTAAAAATATACATAGTAATTTTGTTTTCCTCAAACACTGCTTTCCAACCTTAATTAAGCAAAGAAACACCTTTTAAAAAAACAAGTATAGCCTTAGGAAGTAAGAATTAATTTTAAAAACACTGATCACTTGGCTTCCCACCTTACCCCTACAGGTCCTCAGAGTTTGGAAGTCCCAAGAGTAATTACTGTATTTTAATTCTGACATTAAATATTTTCATGTCCCTATTTCACCCACTAGTCACCTCCAAACAAGTGTTCTGATTAGGAATGCTAAAAGTTTCAAGTCAAGAGCAAATCTAATCCAACCAAAGAGAAAGACTTGAGTTATCATTAGGAGATCTCATTTCAGCATAATGTGCAAAATCACATTTATAAATTAAACTGTAAATACAGGGCAACTTACCATCATGTCTCATCAAAGTTCAACTCTAAGTCCGCTGTTTCCCATTAAAATACTATAAAATGTCTTATAGTTCCCATGCTGGTCTGTCAAGGTTACTTAACTTTAAAATATAATAATTACAGTACTACCCACCTTTTCTAACACTGTCCTTTGAAAAAAACACATATAAAATTTTGAACAAAGTCAAAATACATCTCCCCAGTCCTAGCCAAGATCACAGTGACAAGAAACCCCTTCCTGCCTCCTCCTATACAAGGGGAAGGAAAAAAAGAAAGGATAGGGGCTAGAGGGAGGCTCCAGAAGCATCTGAGAATGCTGAGAAAGTAGAATAAGGTGGGCCTTCAAGAGCAAAGGCTCCTGCAACTCGCACTCCTGCTAATAAGTCTAGTGGGGCAGAGCCACAGCTAAGGGTATCAAATCCCACTCGCAGGGGAAGCCAAGAAATGCCTGCCATCCCCCTCCCCTACCAGGGAAGATCCTTCCATGCCAAGATTCTTAAGTCAAATGTTTTCAGTTAAGGGACTTTTTTTTTTCCCTTAAAAAGAACCTTTCTTCTTTTGTATTTCTTTATGAACTCACTAGAGGCTATATGTGTTTCTGTACATGTATAAAAATAGTATAAATTTACACACTACATAAAAATATGGGAGTGTTACAAGTATGTGTATGTATACCAAAAGCAAGTAATTTCTAATGCTACATAGTTAGACAAACCTACAGGAAAACATTCTCATGGGGGTGCCTGCGTGGCTCAGTCGTTAAGCGTCTGCCTTCGGTTCAGGTCATGATCCCAGGGTCCTGGGATCGAGCCCCGCATCGGGCTCCCTGCTCCGCGGGAAGCCTGCTTCTCCCTCTCCCACTCCCCCTGCTTGTGTTCCCTCTCTCGCTGTGTCTCTGTCAGATAAATAAATAAAATCTTAAAAAAAAAAAAAATTCTCATGAATTAAGAACAGTAATTAACAAATTTCATTTTAGACTGAAAAACCCTTCCCCTACTAACCCTTGGAAGGGGAAAATATCCAAATATACCTAAAATGATAAAAGCAAGCACCTTAAGCAGAGAGTTAAATAAATCTGCTCCAACAGATAAATCTTCACAGAGATTATCAAGGAAACGATGTTAATCAAGTTTTGCTTTTTTCCAGCCTTATAAAACCACTAAGGTAGTGTTTTTGGAGCACGGCTCTTGTAATCAGCATAAAATGAAATTCAGGTCATTGGTCTTTTTCCTCCTCAGAAAAGAAGTAATTACTCTTGAGCTCAATTTTATATTTCCTTTATCTCCTTCACCTTCACCACACCCTGTCAACCTGTAGAAATGTCCACAATCTAGTGCCACTGCTCCTCTACCACTTTCCTTCTCCAGCGCTGGCTTCTGTTGCTCTAACGTATGCCTTGTACATGCAACAACTTCCTTCACTTGGACCTGAACTTGCCTTACTGGAAGCCCTTGAAGGGAGACAGTAAAACCGTATCGCAAGAGAGACCTTACAAACAAAGAATAATGGAGAAGTATACACCTTGATATCACAGAAAAACAGACTAAACCGAGCTTGATGAGGTTCAACATACAGCATACCGGTTCCCTTTTCCCCTCCTCTCAAACCTTCCTCCTTCTCTAATACCACCACACACGCCGTGCACACACACGCACATACACTTTTCTCTACATCTTCTCTTTAGACCTACGTGTGTACATATTAACACACAATTGGGATCCACCACATACATTCTCACATTTCAGTAACACCTCCCTCCATATCTTAAAGAAGACAATAAAATATTTCACTTCAAACACGATTCTTAGGACACTTCCAAATCAAAATGCTGTTGCAAGTTCACGTTTTGAGGTCCACTTCAGACTAAGTACAACACAGCAGATTTTTTATTATTATTTTTTAGATTATATTTGACACAGAGAGAGCATAAGCAGGCGGAGTGGGAGAGGGAAAAGCAGGCTCCCCCCTGAGCAGGGAGCCCAATGTGGGGATTGATCCCAGGACCCCGAGCCGAAGGCAGACATACTTAACCGACTGAGCCACCCAGGCGCCCCACATTTTTTTTAAAAAAAGAAAATTAAAATGACAGAACTATGTTCCAAAGTAAGATAAACAGAACAGAAACAGAGCTTAAGCATAATACAGTAGCTGGAACTAAAGCTGCAAAGTTACTGCTGTGTTTCAGGTCCCAAAGTGGGTGCAGGAGGCTCTTATCATCAAAAATGCCAAAGACTGGGGCGCCTGGGTGGCTCAGTCGTTAAGCATCTGCCTTGGGCTCAGGTCAGGATCCCAGGGTCCTGGGATTGAGCCCCGCATCAGGCTCCCTGCTCAGCGGGAAGCCTGCTTCTCCCTCTCCCACTCCCCCTGCTTGTGTTCCTTCTCTCGCTTTGTATCTCTCTGTCAAATAAATAAATAAAATCTTTAAAAAAAAAACAAAAAAACCAAAGACTTAAAGCACCTCATTTGACTCACGGAACTAGAGATAAGTAGGTACTGGAATCCAAGATATGAGGTGCTACTCCCCCAAGCCTTGAGTAGCCGGGAGTGGGGGGGGGGGGGGGGAGGTGCACAGAGCATTACAACAATATTTCAGCATCACCATACATATATATTCCCTTTTCTCCTTTTCTCAAGAAAAAGAATGAAAAGTTTCTGCCAGTCCTATATAAAGAATAGTTTATTCTTAGAAGAATCAGGAATAGAGCACCTTAAGAGAAAACCAACTTCTAAAACAGAAAATTGAGATAATAAAAATTATAGATCAATTAGATAAAATTTCATTCTTAACTACAGTATTATAATTAAAGCAACATTTAATGATAAGCATAATTCCTGGTGAACTCCACTGAAATTTCTAAATTCTGATACATAAACAAAAACTCAGAAAATCTTAACTATTTTAAATACTACACCAAAAAAGTTTTAAATATGATAGCAGAAATTCTCACCTGTGTTTTGACTGTGATCTTTTTCGTCTAGAATGGGATTTTGAGCTAGACCTGGATTTTGAACGAGTGTGGGAACGAGATCGACCGCCTTTTCTTTCATTGCTCTTTCCAGACTCTGGGAGGAAAAAACCACTTTGCAGTGTAAGCTCAGAACAATTAAAGATCCCAGTTAATAATCAGGCACAAGTGGAATGTACCACATATAGTGCAAGGGGCCTACTCTCTGTACATCCTCCTCCTGTGCAATTATCCTTCAGAAACATCCAAGAAAGTCATTGCATAAACTCGTTGAGTGCAGCCACCCTGCAGCAGTACATATAAACCAGATGATTATAAACAGCTGTTCGTAATATTTTGTTGCTGCCATAATGTACGATTATAACATGTCTGTAATTCCTAGGACAGTGATTTTAAATCTTCTCTCCATTTATTTTGCTAGCAGTGAAGCTTAAATTCTGAGTGCTAATGTAGAAAATTTGCTCAACTGTAAACCACCTAGACATTTTTAGATTGGATTTTTAACTTTCCGTAAGCAACATGAAAGTCTGAATAGGTGTTCCTTTACCTTGCTAAAACAGTCTTTGTATTTTGCCAATCATGGGCTCTCTCTCTTTCCTATTTTTAAAATGAGAACTGTGAAGGAAAGTGAACCTGCTTGATTATAACATTTTAATTATATTTATTCTTACTTTTAGCCTCACAATAACATTTACACTTTGCTTTAAGCCAATCACTTGTGAGCACTGACTTTGCTACAAAAACATACAGATCTGATTAACTCAAGCTAATGTGCCTCAATTCAGTATCATAGGAAAACACAACATTTGTGCTAACCAGTTCTTTGACCTTTGACACTAGTAAGTCACTTACTCTTTCTCGAGTTTCAGTCTTCTTGTTTGTAACATGGAGGGACTAAACAAGATAATTTCTAAAATTCCTTCCAGTTCTATGGTTCTATGATCTTAAACTGCAACCTATGTAACAACACCGTGGCCTTACCTGGTTCAATGGCTGCTGAGATAAAGGACTGAGCCTCTCGTACTCGCTTCATTACTTCTTCTAACTCCTTAGCTGCAGCCTGAGGTGTCATCTCAGGGGGTTTTACTATTGCATTGTTGGAGTGATTAATTCTAAATTAAAAATATTAGCATATCACAAATACACACCATATTTTACAAAATATGAAACAAATGTTTATGATACACATATTTATAAACCGGAGGACATCTCGAAAGCACATTAAGAATGATACAGCTAAATACAGAATAATCAAAACCAACATCAAAACCATGATTAATCTCATTATCACTCATCTTTACGTCTTGCTAACAGAGCCAAAAGCAAGGAAAAAAGAAAGAAAAACTGAACCTTAGCTGACTCCTTAACAACTTGAATATACCAGGACAATTGCTTTTCCACACAACTCAGAATTATAATAAATTAAATGCTGACACCAATATTAAAATACATCATTTCTCATCTTGGATTATAAGATTTTGTTGGTATCTCTGCACGCTGGGAGGATGCAGGAGAGGCTAAATATGTGCACAATTTTAATCAATCTTGGACCATGGGTGAGTCAGATACAGCTTTGAATGTGGGAGGCACCTGATAAACTCTTCCCTACTAGGTCAGAAGTGGTTTCTCTGATGCACATAAATGAATCTGGTGAGTCTCACTTTACCCCCTTCACACTGAGAAGACAAGCATTCACTAAAAAGAAATTTTATCCTTTCACAGCTGAATCCTGATCAAGCTGTATAATTAAGGCAATTACCTATGAAATTTAGATAAAACTGCTGCCTCAATAATCTGCAAGAAATAGATTTTCTGGTCTTGAGAATGTAAAGTCTATACTAATTTTTCATTTTGCAAAATACGATATGAAAAAATATTAAAACTCAATGATTGATTTAAAACACTTCTGGGTACTTAATATTATTTTCCTCTTGGGATTTTGGATTTATCAAAATTCTTATTACAGTATTACTCTAAGTTCATCTCGTATGTTCAATCATCCATTAGTCTAGTCATAATGCAAACCCAATCTGCTTTATTAGAGTTTATGGGAAAAGACCTATAATCATTATATAGGGTATATAAATAATGTTAATATCAAATTAGATCTTATAAAATAGAAAATATGTTTTCAAATACAACTTTAAAAGCTAAAATGGTAACTCATGTATTTCATTTATACTTAACACAAAGTCTTCCTTTCCACAAATTGCCAATTACTATTAAAAAGAAAAAAAAAAAGCCTTAATTACATCAGAAATACTTTAAGTTTTTCCATTATCATTAAAATTGCTTTGTTTACGGTTTCTTACTTCAGTGGCCTGTCTCCAAACATAACTCCATTAAAAGCAAGGGCCCTTGGTACAGAATTTTGGTCTGCAAATTCCACAAAAGCAAACCGAGTTGGCTGAGTCTCATCACCTGCCATCCGCACAAACTTCACTTCTCCAACTTGTTTAAAAAATTCAAGTAGCTGATCAGCTGTCGTTGTCTGAAGAAACAAAGTCACACTTTAATAAAGTAATTCTTTTTTTAAAAATTAGGTAAATATTACTTTATCAATCGATATGACTTTGAAGAAGGGGGAAAGAGTAAGAGATCCTACCACTCAGTTTTTTCTTAAATTAGTTACCTGGGAATTCAAATTGCCAACATAGACTGTTCTCCTAATTTCATCAATTTTGGAAGGATCCACATTTCCCATAAGTGGTGGCTGTGGTATTTCTCCAAGTGTTGCAATGTTGGGGTCTAGTGCTGCTGCTGGTATGGCTCCCAAACTGCTAAGGGAAACACCCAACTATAAATTAAAAAAAAAAAAAGAAAGAACACATATTTTCTGTTAGTATCAAAGATTACTGTTCTTTAACCTTAAAAAGAAAATGATCAACTCAACAAGAATGGAAGGTGACTAGGGAGTCCCAACTTTAAGCAATGTGTATGTCTGAATTATTGAGAAGGAGGTCACAGTAGTTCTGTGTGTAATTAGAAATACAACATAATTCTTAACTATCTGGGTATTTTAACTACTTTCAAACTTGAAACTAAAAATGAACAGTCAATTCTCAGAAGTTATTCACAGCAGTTATGTCCTATAAAGTTGCTGTATGAGTATTATGCCAATTTCACAGATAAAGAAGACTTACAGAAATTAAATAATTTTCCCAAAGCTACTCAGCTACCAAGTGGTAAAAAGCAAGTTACTACTATGCACAGACTAAAACTGAAACAGGGACAAAGTTTACCTAAGAAAAGAAAACTGAAAAGCTGAACTCACCTATACTTTGATGGGAAAAGGACAAAACCTTTGAATGATCTTTTATAACATTACGAAATTCAGTTTTTAGTTCAAGCATTAAGGAGTATGTTTTTAATGTGAACTTAAACAAGGAAAGATAGAGTATCTCAAAATTTGAAAACAGAAGACTTTGCAGAACTAATGAGAAGACATTTCAAGGGGAAACCAGCTATAACTTTCATTTCCATTTATGAGATTTAAGAAAACTTTGAGCACTGGGGTGCCTGGGTGGCCCAGTCAGTTAAGCATCCAACTCTATTTCAGCTCAGGGTTGTGTGATGAGACCTGCATCAGGCTCTGCGCTGGACATGGAGCCTGCATAACATTCTCTCTCTCCCCCTCCCAACCCCTCCCTCTCTCTATCTCCCCCCCTCCAAAAAAAGAAAGAAAATTTTGAGCAATGACTATACAATGTTATGAAACTAAGATTAAACAAATACTATGTAAAAACACTTCCGAAAGGTAAAAACGTAAGTTGATGAAACAAGTATCAATTACAGGTGTCATATCGGCCTGTGTATGATCTTTTTTAAATGTCAAATTAGGGGCACCTGGATGGCTCAGTCGTTAAGCCTCTGCCTTCGGCTCAGGTCACGATCCCAGGGTCCTGGGATCAAGCCCCACATCGGGCTCCCTGCTCAGTGGGAAGCCTGCTTCTCCCCCTCCCACCCCCCCACTTGTGTTCCTTCTCTGTCAAATAAATAAAATCTTTAAATATATAAAATGTCAGATTATGTCTTACCCTGCTTAAAGCCAATCAATGGCTTCTAATTACCTTTTGAATAAAATTCAAATTCCTTTCCATGGCCCAAAAGCCCTATAATCAGTATGCTGTCTATCCTTCCAATAACTCAAAACACATACTACCACTGCCCCCATTTCCAAAGCATCGACTATACTGACTGCCATTCTGTACCTTGAAGACAAAGTTTTTCCCACCTTAGGGCTTTTGCTTGGCGTTCTTTCTGCCAAAAAACTCTTCCTCAGCTTCTGCCAGCCAAATCCCTCAAGCATCAGGTCACTCATCCCCTCCAAGAGGCTTTCCCTGACTTTATATAAAGCTTCACTTACTCTCTACCACATCACTTTTTTTCTTCATAGTATTTATTATATAATCTGTGGTATTTTGCTACTAACATCTTGGATTTGTTGCTCAGCATTACCACTTCAAGTTATCATAAAGTTGTATAAAATATCTTAATTCAAAATGGATGAGTGATCTCTGAATCAAGGCTACCACCCTCTAAGCCTAGTTTTTCTTCATGGTTTGCTTATGCATTGACACTCCTTTTTTCCCCCAACACCTTATCTTCTATGGTATTATAAGGTACACAGATGTTTGAGGGTCATTACGTTAAATTTTTTTTTAAAGATTTTTATTTATTTATTTCAGAGAGAGAGCAAGCAGGGGGAGCAGGAGAGAGGGAGAAGCAGGCTCCCCGCTGAGCAGGGAGCCAGATGCAGGGTTCGATCCCAGGACCTCAAGATCACGACCTGAGCCAAAGGCAGACGCTTAACCAAATGAGCCACCCAGGCGCCCCCATTAAATATTTTTTACTGTGCAAGAGAATTATTATATATCTTTAAGTTAAATCACAAATATGACTCTTACTATTTATTAGTTTTGCATGGATTTAAAGCACTGAGCAAGCCTTTCCAGGCACTCCCAGTTGTCAATCCCTTTGACCTGCAAATTTTCTCCACTGGGACATTATATAAATATACACACACACACACAAACACACACACACTTGGAATGGGCTTTTCCAAACCATCTAATCCATCTAACCTTTAAGTTTCTCAAACTTAAAGATCATTCAGCTCTTTTTTAGAAACTTTTCCCTGTCTCTTTTTTTTACTATACCCTTCTGCTACACCTATGCTATTTAATATTGCAGTCACTAATCCCATACAGCTACCTGAATTTTAGTTAAAATTCAGGGACTGCTTCCAAGTGCTCAATAGGCACACTTTGCCAGTGGCTACCACACTTGATAGTACAGATACAGACATTTTCAGCACAGCAGAAAGTTCTACTGAATGCAGGTGCTCTGTAACAATACAATTACCCTTCTTTTAATTAATCTACTTTCTAGCCCTGGTCTAAGAAACTTATTTAGTTACCCTTTTGGTCTTCGATGGGTTAAAGATGACCTAGGCTCCTGATGTAACACTTATTTTTTTTTTTTTTAAGATTTTATTTATTTATTTGATGGAGAGAGAGACAGCGAGAGAGGGAACACAAGCAGGGGGAGCGGCAGAGGGAGAAGCAGGCTCTCTGCCGAGCAGGGAGCCTGATGCAGGGCTCGATCCCAGGACTCTGGGATCATGACCTGAACTGAAGGCAGACACTTAACGACTGAGCCACCCAGGCACCCCTGATGTAACACTTCTGACATAGAAACCATGGCCTCCCTGAAAACAAAATGTTCTAGGTAAAGGATGAGTAAGTACAAAAGCCCTAAAGCAAAAATGTGCTTGGTGTGTCTCAGAAACAACAAAGCCAATATGGCTGAAGTAGACAAAGCCATGAAAACAGGTAGGAAAAAGGCCAGAGAGGTAAGCAGGAGCCAAGTCACAATGGGCCACCTGTCCCGTTTTCTAATTCAAATTGTTCTTCATAAATTAAATTTTAAAACAATAGATATCTACAGCTGAATTTAAAGAAAACCATTTCCCCTCAAGGCAACAAATTAAATAAAAACTTTATGCTGTTGCTCAATAAACCCTAAGAACTGTCAAGATAGCAAAACAATACTTTCTGAAAAAAAGATAGTGATCCAGGAATTAATGTGTTAAAATATACCAAAATATAACCAAAATAAATTTTCTAGAATATTTCTAAAAAGCTTAACTCAAACGATCAGATGATGAATTAAAAAGTATTTTCCTGGGATGCCTGGGTGGCTCATTCAGCTCAGGTCATGATCTCAAATGATAAGATGTTGAATTAAAAAGTATTTTCCTGGGATGCCTGGGTGGCTCATTCGGCTCAGGTCATGATCTCAGGATCATGAGATCAAGCCCTGTGTCAGGGGCTCCTTGCTCAGTGGGGTCTGCTTGAGATTCTCTCTCTCCCTCTGCCCCTCCCCCCACTCATGCTCTTTCTCTCTCTAAAACAAATAAATACATCTTTAAAATAAAAGGGGGGGTACCTGCGTGGCTCAGTCAGTTAAGCGTCCAACTCTTGATTTGGGCTCAAGTCATGATCTTGGGGTTGTGAGATCAAGCCCCATGCCAGGCATCATGCTGGGTGTGGGAACTGCTTAAGATTCTCTCTCCCTCTGCCCCTCCTCTCTTTCTACCACCCCTCTAAATTAATTTAAAAAAAATCCCCCTCGCCAAAAAAAAAAAATTAAAAATAATTTCCACCAGCGATCACAATGCAGGTCTCCAGCAGTTCAAAGTTATGCAAAAAAGACCTAAAATTTTGCACTTTGTTTTATAACTTTGGTAAATTAACTACATCAAAGGGGTAACTGGCTGGCTTAGTCAGTAGAGCCTGAGACCCTTGATCTCCAGGTGAGTTAGAGCCCCACAATGGGGGTATAACTTACTTTAAAAAAAGGTGGGGAGAGGGCCTGGTTGGCTCGGTTGGCAGAGCATGCAACTCCTGATCTCAGGGTTGTGAGTTCAAGCCCCACACTGAGTGTAGAGATTACTTAAAAATAAAATCTCTAGGGGCGCCTGGGTGGCTCAGTCGTTAAGCATCTGCCTTCGGCTAGGGTCATGATCCCAGGGTCCTGGGATTGAGCCCTGCATCAGGCTCCCTGCTTGGCGGGAGCCTGCTTCTCCCTCTCCCACCCCTGCTGCCTGTGTTCCTTCTCTCGCTGTGTCTCTCTCTGTCAAATAAATAAATAAAACCTTTAAAAAAATAAAATCTCTAAGAAAAAAAAAAAGTATTTTAAAAAATTTACTATCGGGGCGCCTGGGTGGCTCAGTCGTTAAAGCGTCTGCCTTCGGCTCAGGTCATGATCCCAGGATCCTGGGATCGAGTCCCACCTCGGGCTCCCTGCTCAGTGGGAAGCCTGCTTCTCCCTCTCCCACTCCCCCTGCTTGTGTTCCCTCTCTCGCTGTGTCTCTGTCAAATAAATAAATAAAATCTTAAAAAAAAAAAAATTTACTATCATAAAGCTAGTATTAGTTTACTCCCTAATAATCCAATACCACAAAGCCAAAATACAACTTGCAATCAAGGTGACTTTTATATTTTGTCTTGTATTCATTTTTGAAGAAAAATGACCCTTCTTTAAGATAAATATGACAAGAGCCCAGTAACAGCAAAATCTTTTTTAACCCCTCTTAGAAATCACAAAGGAGGTACTAAATTCCTATTTAATTGCACATAGTTAATGAAAAAATATCTTTACCATGTTTTTACCTTGCTGTATTTTCTCAGTATCAGACAAATGCTTCTCTGAGATTCTTTTTCCTGTTACAAAGCTGTGGATCATTTTATTTTATTTTACTTTAATAGATTTAGTCCTTTTGAACTGGGAAATAGTTTAGATTTTCCAATTCCCCATGCGATCTAAAATGCTTAGTTTCAATAACTGATTCTCTAACAATCTATTTTAGTTCTCAAAGTTAAATGAATGCCCAATTACTTCAGAAATAATTCCAAAAGTCAGTTTAAGTCAGTGATAATGTGGGGGGGGGGGGGAGGATTAAGAAGACATTAAGTAGAAAAATTAAGTAGACATTTTGAATCCTTTTCATTTAAAAAAACGATTCAAAACAGAAATAATTTTCTAAGCTCCTTTTCAAATGATTACACAGTTCAACATAAATCTCTTTCAGAAGAGGGTGTGTAACACTTACTGTAGTCAGGGGATTTGGGGTCGGTATGGGAAGCAAGCCTGCACCAGGCATTAGACTTGTCATGGTTGGAGCAGGAGCCAATAAAGAGAGGGCTTTGGATTCCTCTGGAATTTTACCTGCAGAGGCAAGTTCCAAACATTATGGAAAGCAGAAACACCACACAAACTTTACACTATGATTTTACAAATACCCTTGCACTTAAAAAATAATAATAATAAATGAATCTATCTATCAGATCTGTACAAAGAAATAAATAAGAACTTAAGTCTTTCCTTTTATCCTGCTCTACTAGGAAAAATAAAAGTGAGCAAAACTTCAAAGACTAACAATCTCATTAATGGAATATTATTTTAAAAATTGAATAATGTAGACAATTATTTAACACTTTGAGCTATGGGTCACCTGTACTGGAAACTTAATGTTCATGAACCAAACGATATCAAGCATGGACGCTTTCCCAGGACGGTGTTTTCGCGGTGATCGAAAGTTGTGTTACACATGACAACCGTTCGTGTTGGCTGCATCACTAATAGCACACAGAACATCAGATACAGAAAAGAAGAACATTTTTTAAAGTTTAATCCCCAGAAATGGCAAATAACCAAATTAGTCAAAAAAAAGAAAAAGAAAAAACAAATATGTGCGAATTGAAATTTGTTCCTTAATGAGTGCTCCTGGTTACTAAAACTACCTACTGGTGATGCAAACAGTTTTGATAACCTTCCAATAAATTCCATTCAATTTCAAGTAGACAGAAAAAAACCAAAAGCCTACTCCATGTAATCAGCTTCAATTTAAAGGATGCCTACACCCAGCCGGTTAAAAAGACATCTCACCAACCAGGTCAGAGATGCCTAAAAGAATCCAATTCCAAAAACTATGCCTTGTGAAACTACTAAAATTTTTGAGAATCACTAACAAAAAAAGTTCCCTTGTCTCAGGAAACTTCTTAAAGTCCTGACTTTTAGAACCAATTTATGTATACTTATCTGAAGAAGGGGGTTAATGCCTAAATGTCTTGCTTATAAACATCTTAACTGCCTAATAAAAATGACAGTAACACTAAAATAATCTTAGACACTAAAAAGAAAAAAAATCCTTACAACTAAAAAATGAAAAATTTATTCTAAAGTTCATCAATCTGCCTTTTAATTACTAGACTCTTATCAATTAATTTTGATATGAACTGCAACTTTCACACATTTTCCCTTTGTGTCCTCTCTTTCTTACTGACACCGCTAAAATTATCTCTTAGAAAGTTGACTACGTATATCTATTTTGGAAGAACTACTTATAGTTATATGTAGTTGGCTATCTATTTCCATTATGGAGTCCTCAAAAATAATTTAAAACACACTGTAGAAAGTCACACTAAATTGGAAATAGCATATGGAGTAAGTTTTCAAAAGCACCATGCTGGATTTTAGAAGTAAAAATTCTACTTAAAACAACCAGATGTGGAGGGATAAATCTCTAAACAATATTATCTGAATATACCTCTAAACATGGATGGAATTCAAGACAGCTTTTAAATTTTGCTTTAAATAATGGTTACACCTTATTTATAGGAACAGAAAAATTACATTTGATTAGCTTTAACAAATGTCTACTTTTTCCTAAATTTTGCAACATCTAAGTCTACATTAATTTACTGATTTCAAAAACAGTTATTTTATTATTTCAGTGTAAATTCTGCACAAGCACAGATTTTTTAACATGCATAAATAAAAGGTAGGTAGGCCTTACTGAAGACATCAAATAACAATTTATTTTATATTTATTAGTTACTGGTATTAATACATGTATCTATATACCCACCTATATATACTAAGCTATTTAGATTGCTACCAGACCCATTTTAACTGTTATAAATAGGTATTATTTTTAATGCTTATAAAACCTGAACACATCTTGATAAATTCGACTGAGGTCCTGTAGCATAAATCTTATGCTTTGTCACCCTAATTTATGTACCCAAAAAACAAACTAATTGTTTCAATTTATTAATGTCCCCAATTTAAGATTACTTGTCAATTAAGTAAGCAAAACTGCCCATAAAAGACAGTGTAGAAAGACTACACAAAATAAAAAGTATTCAACACAGGCCAAAAGATGAGTAATTAATATCATACTTTCACTTTTGGCTTAAAGAAAGTATCAATCAGTTATCTGACTCTCACTACCTCTCATAGTAGTAATAAACTATTATAAATATTAAGTCTAACTGTAAGCACATTTTTTATTTTAATTACCATTAAAGACATCTTAAGAAAAAAGTTCCATTGCTTAACTCCCAAGACAGGATTCTATCAAATTTATCCTCCAAATACTACCAGAGTATATAAAAATATAAAACAAACAAGCATTTAGCATTTTTCCCAAACTATACTCCTCAAAGACAACTGAGAGGAAAAACATCTCAGAGTATTAATAGTCCTAATCTCAGAATCCATTTAGAAGCTAGTAACACCTGAAATTTTTTCAAAAAATTCAAGCAGAGAAATACACATGCCAAGTTAAGTTTTCAAAGTTTGTCCAATATCCATTCCCCACACAGGCAAGTAAAAGTCTTTGTAAGTCAAGGAAATAAGTTCTTTCTGTAGTAAATAAATCAAAAAAGTGAATGTCTCTGCTTGTCCTCTATCCCTAGATTATTCTAAAAAATTTACTTATTTTCCTTGAGGATTCTGTATGTCTACAATTCTGGGGGGGGGGGGGGTGAAAATTAGAAGCTGTTAATTGGTTTTTATGAAAGATGTAGATTTGGGAGAAAAATCTGAAATGTTGCAATGAGGTCAGGAAATGTTCCTAAGAATTCTAACAGTGTTTTAGTGTTTCGAGAACAAAATGTACTATGCAGTCTATAAACACCAATTAAGACTCACACTGAGCTTCACAACACTGTATCCTAGGTTTACTATGAAAATTTATTTCACTCTAAGATTGAGCTCTGCTAATCATCTCCCAATATAATCTGCAAAGCAATGTTATGAACCCTTAATGGAATACCATTTACAAAGAACTGGAAAACCAGCTCACAAGTTAAAGTGAAAGAGATTTAACAAAACAAAAACAAAAACAAAAACAAAAAAAGGGACAAAATAAAGAAAAAGAAATGAAATTAAAGTAAAACAATAAAAAACAGAGACAGGGCGTCCATCTTCTGCGGTTCAGACTCCGATCTCATTTCCCCAATGAAGGTTTCACTTGACGGCAGGTTTAGTGGCATGGCAAACAATGCCTAACTCAGGCAAGTGTAACAGGTCTGCCTTGGCCAGTCTAGTCATCTAATAATGCACAAATATCACATAGAGAAAACATACAAAACCAAATTAATAGTCAAAATCCATCTACCAGAAAATGTGGACATAAAGTTACGACTGATGATTAGGCTTGACACCCTTGTTATGTTTGACCTTATCTTTTTCTAAGTGTTAACATTTATAAAAAAGAAATCTGAGATGCACGCAACAACAAAAAGAGGTCATATCTGGACAAGTATAATGAAAGCATATTTTATTTTGAAATGGCATGTTTTATTAACAATAGCTAATGCTTAATACGCATGAAACTCTTACACATCAAACATTACTTATACAGCTTAGGATCTTGTTACAAAACTGCATTACAAAAACAGCAAATTGAAAGAAAATGAAAAAACTTTTCTTAAAACTGTTTCTATGGTTTTCTCGTATCTTTCACAATGCTGTTTCTATAACATCAAAGAAAGAATGCAACCAGTGAAGTAAATAGAAGAATGCTTACAGCACCCCATCTTCCTCTAAAAGAACTTACTCCACTGGAACTCTTTCCTTTGGTTTATTTCAAACTCACTTTGCTATCTTTTTTAGTATAATAACACATTATTACTTTGCTTGCGGTGCATAATCAGATCTTTACAGCTCACTGTAACACTCCTCAGATTCTAAAAGGTTATTCGGTGGTATTTAGTTAAACTAATGAAAAATGTGTATCTGAATGTTTCTCTAATAGCAATTATTTTATCAGTGTTCTAAAATACTTACAACTAAACTGCAATAAAAATGTGCTTAAACTTTCATGTTCAAAACCAGAGAAACTGTCTCAAAGTGGTAATATTAAAAATATTTAAGAGCTATTATAAAATGTGTATTTATTAAGCTCTATTAAGTAAAACAGACAAAAAAGAGAAGCTCTACATGCCCATAACCTTGAACACTTAAGACAAATCACAGTATGGGCTTCTCAAATCTATGAAAAATTCTATGGAAATATAGCAAGGTTCCAACAAAGCAACACTGATCAAAAATTCTTCCTTCCAATTCAGTAAGCTAACATAATACAAGATCCTGCACTACTGGTAGCAGAGTTTTCTATGGTTAATATTCCCATTTAATAAAACTTCTGATTTTTTTCCCATGCAGTTTACCTGGTGTGAAACTGGTATGAACTTGGTATGCAGAACTAAACCATTTACCAGCTCTTTTCTCACCTTGCTCTCCAATTCTGGGCTCACTGTCCCCTTACAGATCAATAGATAAGGACAGATACAGCAAATAATTAACTTTAATCCATTTTTATTCTACCTTTCCCCAGGCATGGGAAAAATACTTTCAAATTCATCTGAGAAAAAATCCAGAATGTCCTATTCTGGGACTTCAAAACCAAAAGAATGGTACCTACTGTATCTAACTGTAATGTTATTGACATCCCAGAATAGGCATTCTGAAATAAGCATCAAACTTTAAAAGTGCAGCACTGTGTACCATATATCAAGTTATTTTAATATTAGCCTGGTTTCTAAAAGAGGCTTTAAAACATTACATATGAAAGCTCCTTAAATTGTTCCAGGTAGATTTTTTACATTGTACAACAGTTACCACCATCCACCAGGGAAAACATACTTTAAGGACATTTAAATTACAATAACCTATTCTAAAATAAATGTACACACACCACAGTGTGTACTCTAAATAAAAGTTAACTACACACCAGAACTGTCAAATTCAGCACAGCCTATTATATGTGAATGGCTCTGTAAACGGAAATAACTAAAAAGTAAGTATTGGTAATAATTAGCTCTTAAAGCAGGTTAAGTCTTAAATTAATTTAATAACTATAAGGCTTTTGGACTTGTTCCCATCTTCCACAACTATTTCCTTGATGGAAGCTTTGGAAAATTACTTTCCATTCAATTACACATCCCACCCCCCAAGAAAAGCAAGCCATTAAAAGAAAAAAATAAATTCCAGTTGCATAGCAATCACAATGAATATGCAATAATGGTGTCAATGACAAGGTGAATTATCTTAAGAGGATACTTCAGAGATTAAATTATGAGTATTTTTCTAATGAACATAAATACCATTTAACCCCAAATTTGGCAAAATGTACAGTTTTTATTTATGTCATATCATTAATATTGTGTACACAGGGGCAAATGTTCACTTGTTTATAAATTTAAAGTAATTTCCCCCACCAATTTAATATTTTAATTTCAGAAAGCTTTGTTTACAACTTGCAAATTGACTACAGAAAGCCAAAGCAAACCACAAGTCATTCATGAATTTTTTTAAATGTTTGGCTATTAAATCTCAAGCATACATAAGTAATAAATTAACCACTATATTTTATTATTAGGTAAAAATTCTTTTCTTCTCCAAATCTCATTCTTAAACACACACACACAACAATGTACTATCTACCTACCAATTTCTAGGAAAGCCAAAGGTAGTAACACACAGGACAGAGATTAAAATAATAGGAAAAAACACGGGAGATACCAACCTTCTGCACAAGGTACAACTATCAGAGCTCTGTCAATAAAAACCGTGTTAGTTAGATGCTGGGCCACGCCAACACTTGATGGGTCACGAAACTTAACATAACATACTTTGGAAGAAAAAGCAAGAGGTGCGTTGCTGCAAGATAAAAAGAAAAACAATTGGACTAATAAACATTTGGTTGGTTTTGTCATTTTCATTTGAAATTTCTTTCTTAGATCTTCATATAATCTTACATAATCAAGACAAGAATTTTTATTGCTAAGGATCATTAGCACATAAAAAGATTTGCATTTTCACGTTTTTATTTAAATTCCAGTTGGTTAATATACAGTTACCATCAGTTTGTTCTCTATAGTTAAGAGTCTGTTTCTCGGTTTGCCTCCCTCTTTCTCCCCTTCGCTCATTTGTTGTTTCTTAAATTCCACATATGAGTGAAATCATATGGTATTTGTCTTTCTCTAACTTATTTTGCATAGTATAATACTCTCTTACTCCATCCATGCTATTGCAAATGGCAAGATTTCGGTTTTTTATGGCTGAGTAATATTCCATTGTATATACACACAGCTTCTTTATCCATTCACCAATCAATGGACACTTGGGCTGTTTCCACATTTTGGCTCTAAACTTCGGGGTGCATGTATCCCTTTGAATTAGTATTTTTGTATTCTTTGGGTAAATACCTAGTAGTACAATTGCTGGGTGGAAGGGCAGTTCTATTTTTAACTTCTTGAGAATCCTCCATACTGTTTTCCAGAGTGGCTGTACTAGGCAAAACTTAAGTCTTTTCATGGTGATTCGTCTGCAAAAGTTGACAACAATCTAGGAAGGCCTATTGTTTTATTTGTAAAAACTGGAAATGTAAATTAACGAGTTCCTAAACAGAGCAAAATTGAAAACAGCAGATTTAACCCAAAAATATTCAGTCTATCATCTGAAGCAAAATCACTTTATAAAAGTCCCAATCCCCATGACTTCAAATTTTGTAACCATTTTCAACCCTTCCTAATGTGACTCCCCAGGTTTTAGATCACTAAAAACGTCACCAGAGTCTTGCAAACAGATAACACAGAATTAAAATTAAGGTCTTTCACATGTACTAGAGACTGCTTTAAGCTAGTCAGCATTGTGATTTTCCAGACAAAAGATTTTACAAACAAAATTTAACGTATTTTATATGCAAAAGAACATACTCTTCTAAATCGTACCAGATTCAGTTTAATCTAGGTAGACGTGTAGTAAGAAAACCACATAACACAGATGAAAGCAGTTTTTCCATAATATGAATCCATCTTGTTAGACTGCAAAATATACTATATTCACTGATGATCATTTTGTCAGTCTGTCCAAGATTATTTTCAATTAAAGTCTAAAATTGTCTTTAGCAAGAAAAAAAAACACCCAAACTAAATATACACCTACTATAGAATACACTCCTTTAAAGCATTAAGTTTTTTGTGTTTTTTTTTTAAAGATTTTATTTATTTGTGAGAGAGAGCACAAGCAGGGGCAGGGGCAGAGGCAGAGGGAGAAGCAGGCTCCCCGCTGAGCAGAGAGTCCGATGCGGGGCTCGATCCCAGGACCCTGGGATCATGACCTGAGCCGAAGGCAGACGCTTAACGACTGAGCCACCCAGGCGCCCCTAAAGCATTTAGATTTTTGACACTAAGAAAGAAGTGAGATGATCTGAAAAATATCATCTCTGCCTTGTACAGTAACAATTTAGTTTACAAAACAAGTCAAGAAAGTTGACCATAATCCTAGCCCTAGTAAATGGCAAAGGTGGGACTTAAAGTCTATCTAAATCCAAATCTTGTGCAATCTTAATCATTCAACTAATCAAGAATTTTAAAAGCATTTTAAGGGTGCCTGGGTGGCTCAGTCAGTTAAGTGTCCGACTCTTGATTTGTGCTCAGGTCATGATCTCAGGGTTGTGAGACTGAGCCCCATGTCAGGCTCCACACTAGGCATGAAGCCTGCTTGAGATGCTCTCCCTCCCTCTCCCATTCTCTCTAAAAAATAAAAAAAAGAAAAAAGGAATTTTAAAAGCATTTTAATGTACTATTTAATTAGCAATTCCAAATATTAGCCATTTTTGAAATAAAAAAAAATCACATAAAGCAACAAATCCATCTTGATAACGGTTAAACATACAAATTTATGCTATTACCAAAACACTGTGACAATAAAACATATCAGCATTGAGAACTTGAAATTATTTATATTATTATTAACATAACTTGTCAGGGTAATGAAAGTTGACAAAATGAAACCACCTCTTTCTCACCCAACCCAACTCAATTCACTCCTGCCTAAGGTTATCCAATGCAGGCTTCAACAGGCCCACTCCAATGATGCCTACTCCCCACCTCCCCACACAAACATCTAAGTCAAACACTTTATGGATTTGTCACTGAGGTAAAAACAGTCGTATCCACACTTAACTCACCTTCACATTACCAAATCTCCAATTTAGGCCTCTCTTGAGCTTTTGACTCCCAGATCCAAATGTCTGCTGGAATATTACTCCTTGATGGTCACAGGGCCCACCCCCAAAAAGTTATGGAGTCTAAAATAAATTCATCCTCCTTCTTTCTCACCAGTCCTGGTGGTCATCCTCACTTCATCTCTCAGTTAAAAATACCACCATATTACTCAAGTCATAAATCTAGGAGTCATTAAATGTAACCATCATTAGTACCGTTTACTAAATACTTCCAAATCGCTTCTGGCTACGTGGTAAAATTCCATTTCTTTGTTCCTTGAAGTCAGGTATGCCCAAGCAACTTGTTTTGGCCAATTATATATGAGCAGAACGGACATTCAGGAGCTTTAAGGGTCACTGCTTGGCTCTCTTCCTCTGCCACAGTGACTAGCAACATTTGAGAAATGGGTGGCTGCTACATCGGCTTTATCCCAAAGTGAGTGACCACAATAAGTAGAGTTCGCTACTCCACAAGCTTAGACTAAGAAATAATCTGGTTTTACACAACTACTGAGATTTGAGGGTGTTTCCATCCTTGGCCCTTCCCTCTTCATCCAAGTGGTCATTAAATCCTGTGAAGACTGTATCCCAAATATTTGTCACATGAATTCTTTTATCATTCTCACTATCAGGAGCTTAATTCAGGCCCTCATCATTTCTCACCCAGATTATTAGAATGGCTCCTAAACAATCACAGTGACTCCAAACCCAACTCCTTAATAATGGTCTTTCACAAAAGCTGCCAGAGTGATCCTTCAAAACTATAAATTTTGTCATGTCATTCCACTGCTTAAATTTCCTCAAAGACACCCTTCTGTTCTTGCTTTATCATCTAAATGCTCCCAAAAACCAGGCATTAGAAATACTTGTGGTGTCCAGAACACATTCTGAATATCTGGGCCATCTTTGCACATGTTCCATTTGCCTATGATATCCTTCCTCTCTTTTTGAGTGGTAATTCCACTTTTCTTCAAGACTCAAGTTTCCAAGTCTTCTGGAAAGCTACTTTAAGGCATCAGTGATTAAGGACCTCTCCTCTATGTGCTACCAGGGCATTCTATACACTTTTAGCACAGCCTCATCCATTTTCTTAGGTGAAAACTCTCAACAGATTTTGGAAGCCTCTAGCCACCATTGATTGGCCACATGACACAAGGGCCCATTTTACTGGCTAACCAACAACCTATAATTTGGGTGGTTTGATCAAATCCACTTAAACAATTAGATTCTCTCTCTTGGGCTGAAAAGTCACTTATACTCAGGGCTTGGGCCAGATGCCAAAATACTGAGTACAAAATAAGTCTGCAAAGAAAATAGAGCAGATACACGGAAACAAACTGAGCAGACAATAAAGCCTCTGAGAAGAGGCAGACAGTCGCCCTGGATGCTGATTATCTTTCTGGTTCCCAGTCCCCATGAGGCCTACTTAATACTACAGTCTTTATTTCAATTTAGGAGAATATTCATCTTTTTAATAATTTTCTCTCTTCACGAGCTAGACTGGGTAGGGCTGTTTCTGTCTTTTGCAATCAGTACTCCCCACCCCCGCAAAAAACCTATAATTACAATAAGCTACTAAAGCCCTAGCAATTACAAGTATACTCTCTTTTAGCACTGAAATCTTCAAGAACCTAACAAACCACCACTGAAAGTACATTCCCTAAATGGACAGATCCTTTTGTGAAAGAATGGAAACCTAAATAATCACTACTGAAAACTGAAAACACATTTTCCAATACCCCTACTTAAAACCCACATCATTTCAAATTTAAAACATCCAGAGGAAAAGGAAATATGAGCCTGGATGGTAAAGCAACTTCATGTTATGACAGACTAAAAAGATTTGAGAAGCCCAGAACTGGATAAGAAAGGCTGACCTGTGCGGACCAAGCATTATCATAGAAGTGTGGACACCAGACATAGCTACACCACTGTTCTAAAGAATTTTATCTTCATCTCCAATTACCTTTCTTAAGATACAGAACAGAGATCAACTTACGTTAACACTATTTTATTTTGAGCATTACAATCTAAAATACAATACAGTGGCAAGCCTAAATACAGAAGATGAATTTCTCAACAAATGTGTATTTATTTATACATCATTGTTTCCAAGTTTTATATTTACAGCTTCCATTTTAATACATCTAACCTTTTAAATATTTATTTTTAATTAAATAGAATTATCATCTTTAAGTGTAATTTTGACCTAGAGTTTTAATTTTTAAAAGGGCGTTTTACATATTCCATTTGGTCTAAACATACGCTTCTAAGGAAAGTAGCAGGAGACCAAAATAGCAAATTTTATTTCCACCTCATTTGTTGAATAAAATTTTGTTGTTGTTTTTTTCCAAATATAAAACTTTCTACAATCGTTTTTCCAAAAATTCAGAATTTCTGACTAGGAGTTTATTTATTTTTTAAAAAGATTTGTTTATTTGACAGAGAGAGACACAGCGAGAGAGGGAACACAA